CCGCGATACGTCCGCGGACAAGCTCTCCTCCCGCACGCTTCCCTGTGTCTTCCTTGGCTTTGTCCCTGACGCGCCTGGCTGGCAGTTTTACCACCCCACCTCGCGCCGGGTCTTCGCCTCTCAGGATGTCACCTTTGACGAGTCGGTCCCTTTTTACCGTCTCTTCCCCTACCGCACTGCCCCCCTCCCTCCCCCGCCGCTTTTCCTTGCTCCTGGTCCCCCTCCGGTAGACCCCCTTCCCCCTCAGGGTCCTGCTCCTTCAGGTGTCTCTCAGGTAGACCCTCCTCCCGTCGCTGAGCCTGTCGAGTTCACAGGTGACTCAGGTGCTGCTGCGGGTGGTGCTGCTGGGAGTGCTGAGCCTGGGGGTGCTGAGCCTGGGGGTGCTGGGCCTGGGGGTGCTGGGGCGGCAGGTGCTGGGACTGAGGGTGCTGGAGCTGAGGGTACGGTGCCTGAGAGTACGGAGCCTGGGGGTGCTGAGCCTGGGGGTGCTGAGCCTGCGGGTGCGGGGCCTGGGAGTGCTGGGACTACGGGTGCTGGAGCTGAGGGTACTGTGCCTGAGAGTTTGCCGCCTGGGGGTGCTGAGCCTGGGGGTGCTGCGACTGGGGGTGCTGAGCCTGCGGGTACTGAGCCTGCGGGTACTGAGCCTGGGGGTGCTGCTACTGAGCCTACGGAGCCTCGGGTTACTGCGTCTGGGGGTGCTCCGGTTCGGGGTGCTGAGCAGTCTCTCACACCGCAGCAGCTTCGCGACTGGTACGTCCGACGCTTTCGCCGTCCTAGTGGCTCGGCTGGAGTTTGGGGTGCTGGAGCTGCTCGTCCTGGGGGTACTCGTACTGGGGGTACTGGAGCTGCCGGGACTGGTTGTTCTGGGAGCACTGTGACTGGAGCTGCTGGAGCTGGGGACTCTGGCGCTGGCGGTGCTAGCGGAGTTGGAGCTGCCGACTCTGGGGGTGGCGCTGCTGCTGGTGCTGCGGACCCACCTGGTGGAGCTGCTGCTGGTGCTGAGGAGTCGGACGGTGGAGCTGCTGCTGGAGCTGGGGACCCGGCCGGTGGAGCTGCTGCTGGTGCTGTGGACCCGGACGCTGGAGCTCCTACTGGTGCTGAGGACCCGGCCGCTGGAGTCCCGTCTGCTTCTGGAGACGCTGCGCGGCCGCGACCGTACTTCGTACTGCTCCTTCAGCAGGTTCTTGGGCAGGCTCCTCCTCCTTTTCCTCCTCCCTCCGTAGAGTGTCCTCCGCCTGTCCAGCCGCAGTCACAGTTACCGCCTGCCTCGCCTCTCCCTGCTCCCTCTCCTTACACTGGTCCCACAGGAGGTCTTACAGAGCGTCGTGAGCCTGAGTCTCGTCCTGCGTCGCCTGTTCGTCCTGCTCGCACTGGTAGTCGTGTCCGTCGTGAGCGTCCTCCTCCTGTCCCAGGCACTCACTACATGACTCTGCGTCCCTCTACTGCTCCTCGGCGTGTCCCTCTACCGTCTCCTCCTGCGTCCTCTTTGCCTGCCGTTCCGGACCCTGAGTCTGACCGGTATCGCGCTGAGCACCCTACTGTCACGCGTCTCCTTGCTACTGTTGTCACTGACCCCACCTTTGAGTCCTCGGCTGCGTCTGCTCTGGTCGCTGAGTTGGTTGACTTTGCTGCTGCCTGTCGTCTAGACTACGCTGCTAGCCTTGTCGCTGAGTCAGAGTCTGCGTCTGTCTGTCCTCCGTCCGTCGGGGGTGAGTGTGCTCTTGGCACGGACGTCCTTGAGGACAGGCAGGAGGACTTTGACTCTCTTGCGGCTGCTGTACCTCATCTCGTGGCCTGGTTGCTTGCCCCTGAGGGAGACCCGGATGCACTAGACATCCCCACTCCGCGCACTTACGCAGAGGCGATCTCGGGTCCCTACTCCTCTCAGTGGCAGACAGCCATGGACGCAGAGATGGCATCCTGGAAGTCCACAGGCACCTACGTCGACGAGGTTCCCCCTCCTGGGGCGAACATCGTCGATGGCATGTGGATTTTCAGGGTGAAGCGGCCGCCAGGTTCTCCGCCTGTCTTCAAGGCTCGTTACGTTGCTAGAGGCTTCAGTCAGCGTCAGGGGGTCGACTTCTTCCAGACCTTCTCCCCCACCCCGAAGATGACCACTCTTCGGGTTCTGCTGCACGTTGCTGCTCAGCGTGACTACGAGCTTCACTCTCTTGACTTCAGCACAGCGTTCCTGCAGGGCAGCCTGCACGAGGAGATCTGGCTGCGCCGCCCACCTGGCTTTACTGGGTCGTTTCCCCCTGGTACCCAGTGGAGTCTCCGCCGGCCAGTCTACGGTCTCCGCCAGGCGCCACGTGAGTGGCACGACACACTGAGGACTACTCTTGCGGCTCTTGGGTTCGCGCCGTCTACTGCTGACCCGTCGCTGTTTCTGCGCACAGACACGTCGCTGCCGCCGTTCTACATCCTCGTGTACGTCGACGACTTGGTCTTTGCTACTGCTGACACTGAGGCACTCGCTCGTGTGAAGTCGGAGCTGCAGAAGAGACACACCTGCACTGACCTGGGTGAACTGCGTAGCTACCTTGGCTTGCAGATCACCCGGGACAGAGCTCGCCGCACCATCACCCTGACTCAGTCACACATGGTGCAGCAGGTCCTTCAGCGCTTCGGCTTCCAGTTCTCCTCACCACAGGCCACACCTCTGGCTACCAGCCACTCGCTCTCAGCTCCACCTTCGGACGAGTCCGTAGAGCCGAGTGGCCCGTACCCAGAGCTTGTAGGCTGCCTCATGTACCTGATGACTTGCACGCGACCTGACCTCGCGTACCCTCTTAGCATCCTTGCTCGTTACGTTGCGCCTGGGAGACACAGGCGAGAGCACTGGGAGGCTGCTAAGAGGGTGCTGCGTTACTTGTGCAGTACATCAGGCATGGGGCTGGTGCTTGGAGGACGCGACAGAGTTGTCCTCACTGGTCACTCGGACGCTTCTTGGGTGGACGACCTGGCTACGCAGCGGTCGTCACAGGGTTACACCTTCAGCCTTGGCTCTGGTTCTGTCTCGTGGCGGTCCACTCGCTCTTCCTCTGTTCTCGGCTCTAGTTGTGAGGCTGAGATCTACGCCACAGCCATGGCTGCACAGGAGTTACGCTGGCTCACCTACCTGCTGACTGACTTGGGAGAGCGGCCTAGTTCTCCTCCAGTTCTGTACGGTGACAACAAGGCGGCTCTTGCCTTGTGTCAGGAGCACAGACTGGAGCACAGGACGAAGCACATTGCTCTTCGCTACTTTCTTGCTCGAGAGCTTCAGCAGCGCGGTCAGCTTCGGCTTGTGTACGTGGACTCGAAGGCCAACACTGCTGATATCTTCACCAAGGCGCTCCCGCCTAGTGATCATCAGCGGCACTGTACTTCTTTAGGCCTTGTGTCCACGTTTCCTCACTTGCTCACTGCTTGACATTCTTTGTACTGTACTTTATATATATCTTGTTGCTTGCTTGCTAGGTTTTGATCACTGTGTTGCTTGTCTTGTACTATATCTAGCACTGCATGTGAACTGGCCTTGTGGCCTTTACTTGTGCTCGGAGTGTGGTGACGTTGTGATCCACCCTGGGCTTTGCTTTGCTTTGTTGGACTGGTCTTGTGACCCTTTGTTCTCCCCCACTTTGCCTATGGGGGTGTATTAAACTCTATTATGCTTGTAGGCTATAGTGGGGTAGCCAATATGGGGTACAACCCCAACTAGGGTTTCATATTTGTACCCAAACTCCTGCTAGTTCATTCATTCTTGCCTAGTGATTCTGACAAGTATGTCCTCGAAATCGGTGATGTTGCGGAGCTGAATTTCCTGAGTGATCTCGTGTTTCAGGCTGTCGATGTAGCGGTCGATGCGTTCTCCTTCGTACATATAGCCCACCTGCTCACACAACAGCGCCAGTAACCCGCTGGTGTAATCTTGGACGGAACCGAGCTCGCGCGCCGCGATCGAAGCCGCAATCGGCTCAAATCTCGCACGCAGACCTGCGTACCACGCATCCCACGTGCAATACTGCGGCTCTTCTACGAAATACGACGGCGCCGAGAAGAGCCACGAAGCCTTGTGTCTGTGATTGTGCTTGTTGTGCTCGTGCGACGTCGTTCTGCAGGGACGTGCATTCTGCCGTCAGCGCCGCGATTTCTTCAGAGCTTTCGCGTAGCTGCTGCAGCAGTTCGTTAGGGCGTTCCTGCGTGAGCATCGTAACGTCGATGTGTTCGGCCATTCCCAAGGGCGTCGGCTCGTCCTAGCTCTAGGCGCAGTCGTGGCTGCACGCGTTTACGAGAGAACGCGAAGACATCGACTCCTAGGTGCTAAGGGGCGTGAGTCGCATCGAGTGCAAAAATCAAAAGTTGATTTCTCTGGGCGCGGAGATGCGCGGCCCGAAAGCAAGTGGCTCCGATAACCAAGTGTTGCAGGCGGGTGCAATGGACCGAGATAGCGAGGATTGCACTAGGTGTCAAACGAGTACAAAGTATGAGCGAAGGCATGAGCGAATACTTATGTGCGAACATGCAAACGGTAACGCGGTGCGTGCGAGCTAGCTAGTGCTAGGCTGGCATCGAGGTTCGGGCTAGTCCCGAAGCGTAGGCCGACTCGGCCGGGCCAGCGGTGCATGGTTTGGTGAAACAGTGCGCGCGAAGTTGGCGAAGCCCCGTTAGCAGTAACGGGCGAACAACGGCTGTTGCTACCGTATGCGATGTTGACGGTCGCGGTAAGGAATGGCGAGAATATTCCTGACAGCACCCAACATTTCTCTTTCCCATATACCCCAGAGGACGACATAGCAGCAACATGGTTTCCTTACATTGGGCACAAACAGTGAAAAGGTACGTACTTCATTTCATCACATTCGCCACATCAAATTGAACAACAGCCTGTCTATCAAAGAATAATAAACAGAAAAAAATGACAAAAAATAATAAAGCGCATGCGTAAAAATCACTGGCTCATTCACAACAATGCTTGTTGAGAAGCAGAGTGACAGGCACAGCACAGTTCCCTTCCGTCAGGCGTGCTCCTCCTCCAGATAATAGGAGTCACCATCCGCTGCACCCCCTGCTCCCTGCTCCCCTACCCGCCGCTCACCCCGCCCTTGACCCTCTCGCCCTCCCCACGCTGCTGTTGCTGACCCTCCACCCATGCCAGCAGCAGAACCAGCGGCAGCAGCAGGAACAGCAGCCACAGGGCCATGAAAGGCACGTGGTGGAGCTTGCTGTGCGCCATCCCACCCGTCGTGCTGCGAGGGCAGCGGCAGCGGCGGCAGGTTGGTGGTGAGCCCTACGCCCGTGGCGTGGCACGCGCGCGTCTGTGGTATGTTCTCCAGCGGCCGCTTCTCTGGCTCTCCGGGACACTGCGGGGAGAGGGGCAAGGAGAGGGGGAGGGGGTGACAGGATGGTGTTGGGGAGGGCGGAGATAAGTGGTGGAGAGAAGTTGGGACAAAGCAACGGTGGAAGGCAACGGTGGAAGGTAACGGTGGAAGGTAACAGTGGAAGGCAACGGTGGAAGGCAACGGTGGAAGGCAACGGTGGAAGGCAACGGTGGAAGGCAACGGTGGAAGGCAACGGTGGAAGGCAACGGTGGAAGGCAACGGTGGAAGGCAACGGTGGAAGGCAACGGTGGAAGGCAACGGTGGAAGGCAATGGTGGAAGGCAACGGTGGAAGGCAAGGGAAGAGGAAATCAGAAAAGCACCTGTGGCATGGCCGCCCGGCCTCACCACTCCAACTAGACAGCAGCCCTATGGGGGGCAGAGGAGATTGAAGGTGTGACAGCTCGTTGCAGAGAGCAGCACGGGAGCAGCTAAGGCTGCACGCCTTCAGGGCACAGAGTGCACACGAGACACACCATGTAGGTCCGGACACAGGCATGGCACCATGTAGGTCCGGGCACAGGCATGGCGCCATGTAGGTCTGGGCACAGGCAGACACTGGCAGTGCTGCGTGCACACACAGACACGTGTCCATGTGCCCCAACCCCCCACGCCCACATGATCTATGCAAGTGTTCACCTCTGCACGGGTATCAATAACCACCACACTCCCCAGTGTCCTTCCCCCCTAACCTCCTCCCCTCACCAGCACGCGCTCCCCCACTCACCAGCACGCGCTCCCCCACTCACCAGCACGCGCTCCCCCACTCACCAGCACGCGCTCCCCTACTCACCAGCACGCGCTCCCCTACTCACCAGTAAGCGCTCCCCTACTCACAAATACGCGCTCCCCTACTCACCAATACGCGCTCCCCTACTCACCAATACGCGCTCCTTGACTCACCAGCAAGCGCTCCTGCACGGGGTGCACGTAGCAGGGCTCGGAGGAGCCGAGCATGCAGGCGAGGCGGCCGTTGGAGCGCCAGTCGCTGTGCTTCCAATTGGCCACGTTCATGGTGTAGGGCGTCACCCCCGCCACCCCTGCCGCCACGTACCCAAACGTGGACGTGTCTGTCACCAGCAGCACGTCGCTGGGAGCTCCGCAGGGGGGGCAGATGAGGGCAAAGCGAGGAAGGAGAGCAAAGCGAGGAAGGAGACGGGGGGGAAAAGTGAGAGAGGAGAAGGGGGGAAGTGGACGGGGGGAAAAGTGAGAGCGGAGAGAGGGGAAGCGGACGGGGGGGGGGGTGGGGGGGGGGGAATTGAGGGCGGAGAGAGGGGAAGTGGACGGGGGGGGGGGGGGGATTGAGGGCGGAGAGAGGGATTTGGGGGGCACACCAGAAGGCGAGGAGCCACATCTCAGTGACGGCGAGCTCGTACTGCAGCTGGTCCTCCTGCTTCTCCACGCCCTCCCCGCTCACACTGCCTCGTGCATGATGTGTGGGTGATGGCGCATGGGAGATGATGCATGGGGAGATTATGCATGGGGAGATGATGCATGGGGAGATGATGCATGGGAGATGTGTAGAACAGATGACATGCCTTGTTCGTTTCATGCCCCGGTGAGAGCTCCATCCTGCCATGAAAGAAAAGCCACGCGTGCATGCAAGCACAGCACAAGAGTCGCACGCGAACCCCTAGTAAGCACAGCACATCCCATCTAGCAAACCAACACCAAACCGTGAGAACAGTGCACAAACCGTGAGAACAGTGCACAAACCGTGAGAACAGTGCACAAACCGTGAGAGCAGTGCACAAACCGTGAGAACAGTGCACAAACCGTGAGAACAGTGCACAAACCGTGAGAACAGTGCACAAACCGTGAGAACAGTGCACAAACCGTGAGAACAGTGCACAAACCGTGAGAACAGTGCACAAACCATGAGAACAGTGCACAAACCGTGAGAACAGTGCACAAACCGTGAGAACAGTGCACAAACCGTGAGAACAGTGCACAAACCGTGAGAGCAGTGCACAAACCGTGAGAACAGTGCACAAACCGTGAGAGCAGTGCACAAACCGTGAGAACAGTGCACAAACCGTGAGAACAGTGCACAAACCGTGAGAACAGTGCACAAACCGTGAGAACAGTGCACAAACCGTGAGAACAGTGCACAAACCGTGAGAACAGTGCACAAACCGTGAGAACAGTGTACAAACCGTGAGAACAGTGCACAAACCGTGAGAGCAGTGCACAAACCGTGAGAACAGTGCACAAACCGTGAGAACAGTGCACAAACCGTGAGAACAGTGCACAAACCGTGAGAACAGTGCACAAACCGTGAGAACAGTGCACAAACCGTGAGAACAGTGCACAAAACGTAGACGGTGGTGGGATGGGATGGTGGTGTGTGTGCACCTGAAGACGGACACAGTGCTGCCGTCCAGCGGCTTGCCCAGCACGTAGCGGTCGCGCAGCTTGGCGCCGTGCGTGGGGTTCAGCGACACCACCAGCGCGCCGATGCTTCGCCCGCGCACGCCCCGCAGCGCCTCCTCCGTCACCTGCACGGCGTGCAGGGGTGGAAAGTGGTTCCGGGGGGTGGTGTAGTTTAGTGGGGAGTGGTGCATGGGGAGTGTATGGGGGCCACTGGTGCACATGGGTGTGCTGAGGCCCGAAAATGGAGCGCCTCAACGGTGCGCTTTACCTCGCATGGGATAGCCCTCTTTCACTGCACTATGTTTGCACGCTTGCATTCAAAGCAATGGACCGATTGAGCGAGATGAGATGGAACGAGAGAGACCACTTGTTCCCTATGCCATGACACGAGCTGTCTTTCCAACGAGCCGCTCACAGAGGCAGCGGTTTGGCGCCATTGGTCGGTGGGCATGACAGGTGGCAGCACTCTGGCGATGTTGGTGGCGCACTCAAACACATTCACCATCAGATCCTCCTCTGTCTCCTCGAATGCCCGGATCTGACATGCACACACATGCACACACATGCACACACATGCACACACATGCACACACATGCACACACATGCACACACATGCACACACATGCACACACATGCACACACATGCACACACATGCACACATGCACACACACATGCACACACACATGCACACACGTGCACACATGTGCGCACACATGCACACACATGCACACACATGCACACACATGCACACACATGCACACACATGCACACACATGCACACACATGCACACACATGCACACACGTGCGCACACATGCACACACATGCACACACATGCACACACATGCACACACATGCACACACATGCACACACATGCACACACGTGCGCACACATGCACACACATGCACACACATGCACACACATGCACACACATGCACACACATGCACACACATGCACACACATGCACACACGTGCGCACACATGCACACACATGCACACACATGCACACACATGCACACACATGCACACACATGCACACATGCACACACATGCACACACATGCACACACATGCACACACACACACACACACGCACACACACGCACACACACGCACACACATGGGCACACATCCACACACATGCACACACACGCACACACCTGCACACACAAGCACACACACGCACACACATGCACACACATGGGCACACACACGCACACACACGCACACACACGCACACACACGCACACACGTGCACACACGTGCACACACATGCACACACATGCACACACATGCACACACATGCACACACATGCACACACATGCACACACATGCACACACATGCACACACATGCACACGCATCCACACATGGACACACATGGACACACATGCACACACATGCACACACATGCACACATGCACACACATGCACACACATGCACACACATGCACACACATGCACACACATGCACACACATGCACACACATGCACACACGTGCGCACACATGCACACACATGCACACACATGCACACACATGCACACACACGCACACAGATGCACACATATGCACATACAACCACACACGCACAAACATTCACACAGGCAGACACAGACACACAGAGCGCACATATGCGCACACATGCACACACATGCGCACATGCACACATGCACACATGCACACATGCACACACACATGCACACACACATGCACACGTACATATGTGGTGAGCACATGCACACTCAGCCTACTTCCAACCCTCCTTTCCTGTCTACTTTCCCTTCCCCCCATTCCCCTTCTTGTTCCCCTTGTTGCGAACCTCCTATCCTGTGATTCCAACACAATCTCTCCCACCCCAACTCAAACCCCCCCTTCCCCTTCCCCACTCCCACCTGCTTCCCCCGCCTCTCCCCCTTCCCCTAACCCCTCTCGCCCCCCCAGTAAGCGGACCTGAAGGCCGACAGTGAGGGAGTGGTGGGCGAGGTGGCCGTGGTAGAGGCGCATGATGCGATCCCACAGGTAGTTGGCGGGGTGCAGCAGGTACCTGCGGGGTACATGCAGGGCACACGCATGGCACACGCATGGCACACGCATGGCACACGCATGGCACACGCATGGCACACACATGGGACACGCATGGCACACGCACCGCACCGCACACGCATGGCACACGCATGGGACACACATGGCACACGCACCGCACACGCATGGCACATGTATAAAGCACACGCACCGCACACACATGGCACACGCATGGCACATGCATGGAACACGGGTGATGGGCAGGGTTGGCGCTTGAGCGGATCCAAGAAGGGGTGCTGCAGGCTGTGGCAGGCGGTGGCAGTTGGGCAGAGATCACATGGGGATTGCATCGAACCCAAATTGCATTGAACCGAAATTGCAGTGAACCGGGTTTGCATCAAACCGGGTTTGCATCAAACCGGGTTTGCATCAAAATGTCATAAGTAATAACGAGTCATAAGTCTAGATCGAAATTCCACTGTGGTAATGAATCAGGAGGCTAGTTGGGGATGCTACGAATGGAGAATGATGCTTGAATCGAAAGGTGAGTGACGAGCCGACTGACCTCGAAAGGTGGGTGAAGACTCGTCGATCGGGAAAGAGAGTTTCCAGCTGCACCTGCAGTGGCGGGCAGACAGGGTGAGGCATGGAGCGAGAGCGAGAGGGAGAGAAGGGTGGGCATGTCGAGAGAGACAGGGGGCAACGAGCAAATGAGCAGATGAGCAGATGGTAAGGAAGATATGGTTGGGCGATGCCAAGGTTGGGGATGGGAGAACATGTGGCGACACAGAGAGGAGCAGGCAAGGAAGGATTGTTCATGGAGTAGCGATGGCCACATGCTGCCATCACGCGGCATGCCTCTCATTGTCGCTTGGCACGACCTAAGCTTCCTTCCTGCGGCGCGGCACGAGCAGCATGTGAAGAGCGCGGCATTGGGAAGTGGTGGAGGTGGACCCACGCGCACAACTCATGCAGCACTGCCAACGGGGCAAGTGGTGAGTTGGGCGTTTGAGCCACTGGGCACATGCACACATGCCTGTCCGCGCCCCACGATCAAATGCAGAGGTCAGTACCGGTGCAACTAGCGTATGCGGCAGCTCATGATGGCTCAACCTGGACCCCCACCTGGACCCCCACCTGGACCCCAACCTTGAGAGCAAAAACACTGCATGGGCAGCAACACTGTACCTGCAGCGAGGGCAGCAACACTGTACCTGCAGCGAGGGCACGAGGTAGAAGTGTGGCACGAGGAAGTAGTCGGTGTAGAGCGTGGCAAAGCGCGCCGTCGCCATCTCCTGCTGCTCCGCCTCACAGAACATGCCCCACGTGTCCGCCTTGGAGCTACCCGTGGGGGGGAAGGGGGGAAGGGAGTGGGAAGATGAGAGAAGGAAATGGGAGGCGGAGGGATGCGGGGGTGAGGAGAGAGAGGGAAAGACAAGGGGGGAGCAGGTTTGCGAGTGAGAGAAGAGGATCGCACACCTATAATCAATGCACGAGCAATGAACTTTAAAAAATGTTTTTTTTTTTTCCCCTGTGATTTTGTGCTGCACACCGGCAACCAAGCAAGCTGTATTGGAACCAGAAAATGACATGTGCATGCTGACGTCACTCACTCCCATGACATGTGCATGCTGACGTCACTCACTCCCATGACATGTGCATGCTGACGTCACTCACTCCCATGACATGTGCATGCTGACGTCATGCCCGTCCCATCCATTGACGAGGCCTCGGTTGCGCGCCAGCGACCGGTGCACCGTCTGCGATATGGTGCTGGGAGGGGGGTGAGGAGGTGGGATGAGGTGCATGATGTGGGGAGGGCATATGAGAGATGAGAAAGGAGGGCTTGTGAAAGGCAGTGGTGGAAGTGACATGCAATACAGGTGCGCTCGTTGATGGTGGCTAGCCCACCCTAAATGAGCAGAGCGTGCAGGTGAGAGCAGAGTGGTTGCATGCACGGCAAGGCGACTGACTTGAAGGCGTGGAGGGGGATGGTCCATCCAGGAGGTGGCGGGGAAGGGCATGTGAAAGGCAGTGGATGGGGAGGGGACATGCGGATGCGGAAGAGGTGTGTTGGTTGATGGTGGCAAGGGCACATGAGCAGGGAGCAGAGTGAAGGCATCGAGCAGCTTGCAGCACGGCGAGGCGACTGACTTGAAGGCATCGAGAGGGATGGTCCAGGAGGTGGCGGGGAAGGGCTCGCAGAAGAAGCGGAAGAGGAAGGAGTCGGGCGGAATGATGAGCGTGCGGTTCGTCAGCAGCGCGTAGCTGAAGGCCGAGATGAGCGCCATTATGCGATTGCCCATGCCTGCAGGCGTGCAGCAGGGGAGGCCAGCGCACACAGGTGGAGAGAGGGAGGGTTGATTGAGGTGCATGCATAATGGCCGGGCACAGCAATGGCATGGCATGCTTGCCTTGGACGGGCCTCACGTGCATTATCACTCCCTTCTCCCCTGCACTGCACCGCGCTCCCTCTTCCATTCCCTGTGTACCCACCTCACCAACCACCCTTGCATCCGCCATGTGCCTCCTTCTTCCCTCAACCCTCCTCCTACCCCCCTGCCTGCTCTCTCCCTAAAAAACACTCCACCCCACCCAGACCCATGCCCCATGGGAATCGCATTGAGAAGCTTCACACACATCACACAACGCGCGCACCACACCACATCCTCCCAGCCACCGCACTCACTCACTAACCTCCCCCGTCACGTGCGCAGCCTCGCCAATGTGCACACCACAGGTCCCAGCCGCGGCCAGGCATACATGCACGTGCACCCTCAGCAGGCAGTGGGCCGAGAAAGCGTGCGTGTTGATGCTCTGTGCAAAGCTCATGCGGTGGCGAGCAGAGGCGGTGCTATGGGACTTGAACCCCTCATGTATCTCTGTTTTGTCCAATCATTTTTTGCTCCTCAAGTCAAATACTTGGTGGTGTTGTGCCTGTAAGGCATTTCAGTGGCGTACCATGGTAGGTGGGCGGCATGAAGAAGAGATACTTGCAGCTCCCCAGCCCATCAACTCCATCCTTCCATCCCATGTACCTGTGCCCAGCACAGGGATTGGTGGCGCCGTGGGAGACAGGCAGAGGCGTGGATATGAATGCCAGAGGCACGGAATAGAAATGGCAGAGGCATGGAATAGGAATAGCAGACGGATGGACTAGGAATGGCAGAGGCATGGAATAGGAATGGCAGAGGAATGGAATAGGAATGGCAGACGGATGGACTAGAAATGGCAGAGGCATGGAATAGGAATGGCAGAGGGATGGAATAGGAATGGCAGAGGCATGGACTAGGAATGGCAGAGGTATGGACTAGGAATGGCAGAGGCATGGACTAGGAATGGCAGAGGGATGGACTAGGAAGGCTCACGGGCTGCGGTAGAAGGCTCACGGGCTGCGGTAGAAGGCGAGCCAGTGGTGGATCTGCGTGCAGCGGCGGTGCATCCGACGGTACTCCGACAGACGCCGCCTCAACGCCATGGATGGCGGCAGCTGGCGGTCAGGGCGCTGTGGTGCTCGTAGAGAGAGGGGAGGGGGGAAAGGCAATGCAGAAGGGCGGGGCGCATTAGGGAACGCGAGGGGACAGGAAGACGAGGACTATGATCGATTATACGCTCAAGGCCCTTAGCGTTTAGCGTTTGTACGCTAGCGTATGCACGCTATACGCTATACGCTAGGGACTACGCTATACGCAGTCATAAAATTTTTAGGGCTGCCCGAAAAAAATAAAATCGCGGAAAATATGCGGATTTTCTTGGTGAGCATTTCGCCGAAGTCGAAATGCGAATCTGTGGTCTAGGCATTTGGGGATCTGACTTCGAATGTTTCAGGCACATTTGGGAAATCGAATGCTGAACTCAGATCTACAACCCATCCCATCTACCGCATTGAAACCCATCCCATCTACGAACTCCAACCTGTCAACTTGAACCCCCAACAAGCCTCTCGCTTCTTTCCAGCCAGCCCCACTACGAATTCGTCAATCCATACCATCCATTCCGCTTCCAACAGGGTACTTTTCTCCCTAGCGATAATGTCTACTCCACCCTCCCACCCCCACCCGCCTTTCGGACTTAGGAGAATGCTAGGGCGCGTCTTAGCGGTGGTAGGGAGTATTATGAGACTTGGATGTTTTGTGTAAGGGTCGTGATGAATGTATTATGGGAAAAAAAAATATCTCTGAAACACAACCCCCTGAATCCCCCCCTGAAACAGCCCCTGGGGTTTTTTTTGCCCTGCCCGGAAAGTTTTTAACCTGCCCGAAAAAGCGTATCCTTGATCAGACCCCTCTTGCGTATAGCGTTTATACACTAGCGTATATACGACACGCGTATATACGACACGCGTATATACGACACGCGTATATACGACACGCGTATATACGCTATACGCGTATAATCCATCATAGGACGAGGAGAAGAGGTGAGGAGGGAAAGGTGAAACAAGAGAAACAAACAGGCGCCGCCCCAACGCCAGTGATGGCGGCAGCAGGCGATCTGTGGTGCACGTAGAGAGAGGGGAGGGGGGAGAAGAGAAAGCCAGTTAGATGGAAGGGCAGGGCGAAGCGGTAATAGAGTGAGGCTCGTGACCAATGGCACGTGGGATGCAGAGAGAGAGAGAGAGAGAGAGAGAGAGAGAGAGAGAGAGAGAGAGAGAGAGAGAGAGAGAGAGAGAGAGAGAGAGAGAGAGAGAGAGAGAGAGAGAGAGAGTGGCGGAAGACGGGGAGAAGAGGTACATACATGCATCTCACCGTGACATACATGCATCTCACCGTGACATACATGTGCATCTCCCATTTGCTCCAGCATCTGTCCCCTGCCGGCCGTGTGTGCCGTTTAACTCCGTCCACCCACACCCCAGGGCCCGCCATGCCGCCACGCGCGCCCACGTGCATGTCCTCACGCCCGTCGCTGCTGTCGTCGTCGTACCTGCCACCGCCCCCCTCACTGCCACCGCCCCCCTCACTGCCACCGCCCCCCTCACTGCCTTGTCCATCCGCCAGCCTGCGTCGCCCACCCGTGCTTCGCCTGCCGTCCCCTCGCCTGCGCGCCTCTCCTCCCAACACAGCCCCTCCTTCCACCGCCACCTCCCTTCCCCAAACTGCTCTCCCCTTCCCCTCCCGCTTCCATCCCCCCTGCCCCTCCCACCGCTCCCCCTGCCGCTCCCATGGCTCGCCCCACGGTGAGCGCCCTCGCGCCCCCTCCTCGTCGCCGCCCCGCGCGGCCTGCTGTGAGTTCCGCCCAGCCACCCACCCACCCACATCGTCGCCATCAGCGCTTTCACTCTCACCGTCACCTCCGTCACCGTCACCTCCGTCACCGTCACCTCCGTCACTGTCACCACCGTCACTGTCACCTCCGTCACTGTCACCTCCGTCACTGTCTCCTCCGTCACTGTCTCCTCCGTCACTTTCAGCGCGTTCGAGTAAGCCCCCAACCACAAGATCGCTCATTCCATCTCCCCTCGTGTCCGTGTCGACCCCATACCCCCTCCAGGCATCGCCGTTCCTACCCACGCGCCATGCACGGTCATCCCGCGCCTCAGCGTCCGAGCCATTTTGCCGCCATGCCCCAACCACCTCGCCCGCCCTCTCCCTCGCTAAAGCCCCGCTCCCAACGGGCCCAACGGCTGCGAGCATCAGCAGCGCCGCCGCAACGCGCGCGACAGTCGCCATCGCAAAAGCAGGGGGGTTGGAGAGGGGTAGGTTGAGTTTCAGGTGCTTCACAGTAGCTCGACTCAAAGTTGCACCATAGCTACCCTTCAGTTGCTTTCAGCGTAGGCGCTTCGGGAATCGGAGAGATGACGAAAGCGTCAGTTGGCGTGGAGCTTGCGTGGACAATTAGCTACCATTCTCGGGATCGGAGAGATGGTCTACGATTCATACCTACCAGACATCTGTAATTAGCAAAATGATTCGGCTTCCCTTGCATGTGTTTGCATTCGCCCATTTCTCCCCATCAATGGTTTAGGGCGTGTAACTTTGTAACCAAACTAGTTTTCCGACCATTCGCGCGTTTCTGGCGATTGCGAACCGTGTAACGTGTAGCGAACCCCGCCAAACATTTCAACTGGAGCACCCACCCCAAACCACCCTCTTATTTAAAGCCAGGATCTCATGTAGTTTGGCTGTTTTGCAGTTAGTGAATTGCGCTAGACTGTGATTGGTTGACGAGATAGAGTAGTTGACGAGAGCTGAAACGAGGGATGCGAAGCAAGCACAAATCGCAGGCTGATTCCGAACCACCTAGGCACGGAATTTTGGTTGGGTTCCGAAGCTCATTTCCCAGCAATGTGTCTCAGCTGCCGAAAAATCTCAGGTACAGCAATTTGTTTTGCAATTGAGATTCACGGGCAAAACGGAAATCTGTCGCACACTGAACCTCCAACCCAACCACTCGATTTCGCCTACACAAACAGGGTGACTAGAGTGGCAAGTGTTTTGCAATTGAAGCCAATTTCTCTTACTTGAGATCCTGGCTTTAAATGCGAAAGTTTTGATTCCTTTTACTGCATTCTAATCGGGTGTGGAATACAAGGGATTGGAAGCATATACCAGGGTGTTTAACAAAGCTTGAAGTTTACGCAAACTCAAATATTTTCTTCTCGGGTTAGAACTAGGAGTGGTTTCGAAATGCCTGCACTCATACATACGTGTCCATGCGCTACTAACCACTATGTGCACTGCACCCTGCGCTACTGACCACTGTGTGTACCGCACCCTGCACTACTGAGTGGGCCAGACTAGGGAGACGAGGGAGAAAAGTGAAGCTGAGGAGGGGGAAGGGATGAGCCCAACTTCCATAAGTCATGTGTGCTCTACAACTTGCAGTACTGAGTGGGTGATGGTGAGGGGGAAGGTTTCGGCTTCCCCCTCTACCTCTCCCCTCTTGTCTCTTCTTCAATATCTTTCTATCAAATGTTGTAGCCTTTAGTGATGTGTGTCATATGGGGTACAGCAGTTAGGGTTAGGTTTATGTACCCCAACCAACCTTAGTCAATGCATCATTCATTTCATGACATGGTATCACCAAGGTTAGGATCCTGTGGGATCCCGTTCCTCACCCTAGCATTCGTCGCGCCCTACCGTTGAGCCCGTCCCGTACCCTAACGCCCGTATTGTTGAGCCTGTCCCGTACCCTAGCGCCTGTTGCGCCAGTCCGTCTCGTACCCTAGTGCCCGTCCCATCCCATCGCGTCGCCCCTTCCAATCGCGTCGTGCCCGTCCGTCCCATCCGGTCGTATCGCGCTGCCCGTCCCGTCCCGTCGCGTCGCGCTGCCCGTCCCGTCGCGTCGCGCCTGCCCGTCCCGTCCCGTCGCGTCACGCTGCCCGTCCCGTCCCGTCGCGTCGCGCTGCCCGTCCCGTCCCGTCGCATCGCGCTGCCCGCCCTCGCTTGTCCCGTCGCGCCTCCCTGCCCGTCGCGTTGCCCCCTTCTCGTCCCGCCGTGTCCCGCCCTACCCTGCCATCACATCGCGCCCTGCACGTCCCGTAGCGCCCTGAGCCTCACGCTATACCTGTCACGCCCTCCTCAGGCCCTCTAGGCGAGTAGGGTTTTGGCAGCAGCAGTTCCCACCTCTTCGCTTCCACTATCGCGACCCCTAGGGTCCTGTGCTTTGACGCTGAGGGTAGGCCGCTCGAATTCTCTGCCTGGCTCCTGTGTGCGCAGCGTTTCCTAGAGAGTCAGGTTCAAGCAGACGAGTCTCTGTGGGCGCACGCTTCCGGTGACCTTCCTGCGCCCCCCGATCCTGCACCCTTAGGCACTGACCCCACCACTGCAGACAGAGACCGTTTTGCACGCCAGCGTGCTGCACTTACAGCGTGGAAGTCGCGTGACGCTGCGGCCTGCATCGCCCTCAGCAGCCTCCTCCCTGAGTCTGAGGAGACCCACTTCACTCAGGTTCGCACGGCTAGTGAGTTCCTGACTGCGATCAAGGCCCGCTACGCTACTCCCACCACTGTCTCTCTTGGTCGCCTGTTCCTCCCGTTCCTTTTTCCTAACCTCGCCTCGTCTGAGCGCTCTGCTGACTTGATTGCTCACCTGCGCTCACTTGATTCTAGCTACTGCGCTGCCTGCACTGACGCACAGCTTGCACTGCTCCCTCCCCCCATGGCGATTACTATTTATTTCATCGCCACTAGCCTCCCTGGCCGCCTTGCCTCGGTTCGTGACGCGCTTCTTCTGAAGCACCCTAGCGAGCTCACTATCGGCGTCCTTGAGTCTGCCCTCAAGGACGTCGAGAGCAACCTCCGCTCGGTAGCCTCCGCCTCTGGCGCTGTGCCCCCTCCACTATTTCACAGGTGTACTGTCCCTCAGCTGCCCACCTTTACTGCCTCCCTTGCCACTGCCGCTACTGACGTGACCGCATCTGTTGTTACGGCTTCTGTGTGGTCTAGGGGTAGGAGTGGCAAGAGGGGCAGCCAGGGTGCGGGTGGCGGTGGAGGCGGCGAAGGTGGCGTGGCGAGCGGCGGTGGCGGGAGTGCAGGAGTTGGAGGAGTGCCTCATGCAGCGTCTAGTGACTCCCTTGCTGCAGCTGGTGGAGGTGACACTCGGGTTAGTCAGGCACCTGCGGGACTGCCAGCTACAGGTGCTGGAGTGGCGGCTTGGTACCTGGTTCAGCGACATCAGCAGCAGCAGCAGCAGCAGCAACCACTCCTCTCGCAGCATCAACAGCAGCAGCAGGTCACCAGCAGGCTCCGGGGAAGTGGTCAGGACCGCGTCAGCTGTCGCGCGGTGCCGTCCACCCTCCTTACATCTATCTCGTCCAAACATGTACTCGCAGAGGCCTCCACTGTGGCCGTCCCCACACTCGGGGTCAGTGCTCAGCTCACTGACACTCTTCGCGCGGCCTACGGCGTCAACGACCCTGCCCTTGTGGGGCATGCCTGCTTCTCAGTTGCTTGATCTCTTAGGAACTCCTCATGCTATGTATGTTGTTGTTGACTCTAGTGCTTCTGACTCTGTTTACTCGCGTGTTTTTAGCTTAGGTGCTAGTGTTGACTCTGTGCCAGTTGCTAGTTTAGGTACTTGCTTAGGCACTAATCCAGGTACTGCTCTGGAGGACACTTTGCTGTCTTTCACCCTTGACTCTGGAGCTTCGCACTGTTTCTTCCGCGACCACACGACTCTTACTCCGCTTCCTGCGCCGATCTCTGTAGCGCTGGCTGATCCTACTTCGGGACCAGTCATTGCTCACTAAACCACTACGCTTCCGTGCCCAGCTGCTCCCTCGTGTTTCCTGATGAGCTTCCACGTCCCCTCGTTCTCTAGGAACTTGGTAGCTGTGAGGCCTCTCGTGGGTAGTCACGTGGGTGTTTGGTTTGAGCCTTCTGGGGAGACTGCGTATTGTGTAGACGGTGACACGTACGCACCTCTGGCCACCTTTACCGCTGAGCCGGGCTCTGGTCTCTACACATTTCTCACTGGCCCCCAAGGGAGGCAGCAGCAGCAGCAGCCTCCGAAACCTGTCACTGCCCCCCGTCAGGCCCTCGTGTCTCACCAGGTTGCCGCCTCCTACCACGTAGCTGTGTCTGGTCAGGTTCCCGTGTCTGGTGCGGCTGCTGCGTCTTGCTTGTGCCGGTCGCTTGCCCACCCCACCATTCGGTGGCACCACCGGATGGGTCACCCGTCCATTCCTCGCGTGCGCACTATGTCTAGTCAGCATCTTGTCTCAGGCCTCCCGCGAGTCTTGCCTTCGCTGCCGCCTTCGCTTGCACCACCTTGCGGTCCCTGCGTCGAGGGTCGGCTGCGCGCCACCCCTCACTCCTCCTCCCTCGTCTGGCCACCGAGCCCTTCGAGACTCTCCACTTGGACGTCTGGGGCCCCGCCTCTCGCCTTGGCCCCGAGTGAGAGAGTTTCTTTCTGGTGGTCGTTGACGACTACTCCCGCTACACCACAGTGTTCCCCCTGGCAAAGAATCCCGGTGTGACTTCTACGCTGATCCGGTGGTTACTTACCACTGCGGACACTGATGGTAGTCGTGTCAGCTATCTTCACTTCGACCGCGGGGGTGAGATTTGCTTCGGTGTTCTCGCTGGATTCTATCGCGAGCAGGGTATCCGTCAGTCCTAGTTGCTTCGAGAGTCCCCACAGCAGAATGGGATGGCTGAGCGCTGCATAGGCTTGGTCATGGAGATCGCCTGCACCTCCATGACTCACGCCCGTGCCCCCCATTTTCTGTGGCCCTATGCGGTTCGGTACGCCGCTCACCAGCTGAACCTCTGGCCACGTGTCTCTCGGCCAGAGGTTTCACCGACCAGTCTTTGGACTGGGTCCCCTGGTGCTGCGTCGCGTTTTCGTGTCTGGGGCTGCTTGGCGCTTGTTCGCGACACCTCCGCAAACAAGCTCTCCCCTCACGCCCTTCCCTGTGTCTTTCTTGGTTTCCCAGAGGACTCCTTTGACTTCACTTTTATCACCCTCCCCTTCACCGTTTTTTTTATTCTCGAGACGTCCGTTTCGACAAGTCCGTCGCCTACTACACCCGGTACCCCAGACGAGGTCTCCCGGTTCCTTCCCCCCCTCTCTTCTTGATAGCCGCCCCCCCTCCTGCTCCCCGGTACAGCTTCCCCCCCTGGTCCAGCCCCGTCAGGTGTGTCACACGCAACCCCTCCCCCCTCGGTAGCCCTTCAGGTGCCATCCCCTTCCCCGCAGTCCTCCTCACAGCCTACTGCAGACCCTGCGGGAGCCGGTGTTCGTGGCGAGGACCCTGGAGGTGCTAGCTCTAGAGGCATTGGAGTTGGAGCTGAGAGCATTCCTGTACGAGGTCCTAGTTCTGGGGGTGTTGGAGTTGGAGCTGAGCCCGTGACTACAGGAGACTCTTCAGGGAGCTAGTGTTAGTCGAGCTGTCCCTGGGGGT